ATTCACATGCCTTAAAACATATTTTAAAATTATTACTATCTGTATATTATTATTGAAATAAAACAGCTTATATGCAAGTTGGTATCTAGAATAATTGGTTAAAACTTTTTGATACATATCTAAGATTTTAGAATTTTTATATAATCTTATTTTATGATAATGCATCTATTTATATTTTACATGAAAATACCACATTCTCTAATATTCGTCTTCATAAATCATTTTTTAATACAACTGCACATCTCTAATCATATGATACTAGAATTATTAGAAGTTTTAAAGTAAATAATATTAATATAATTTATATAAAATAATAAAATCAACTTACTAATTTATAATTTATTAATAAATATAGATACATTATCAGAAGTTATTTTTATAAAATTATATTAAAGTATTTGATAATAATCAAGAAACTAGTCAACCTATAACTAAATTATAATAAAAAAGGCAATTAAATATGTAGCAAAAGTATAGGATCTGATTTAATCAGAAGTAATTATAAATTGTTAAAGAAAACAGATATTCTTTTGCTAAATCCTGATGATGATGAAAGAATTGATGTTAATGATTTTGTCAATTTTATAGATTTGATGAATCAAAATAATACAAGATTTTATTGTTTAATTAATTCCTAGTATATACAAAAATCCAATTTTCGCTGAAGAATATATGCAATATGAAAAAGAAGAAATAATTCATCAAAATTTAACTTATGAGGAAATTATAGAATTAATAAAAAAACTAGAAGAAGAACCAAATAATGAAGAACTAGAAATTTCTCATATTAGTAATTATGAAGCATTAATATCACTTAATCAAATAATCATTTATGCAGAACAAAAATCTGATAAAATTGATTTTTCAAAAAATAAATTTGTGCAATAACAAAAATTACATAAAGCTGTAGAATGAGAAGAATTCTATTCTAAATAACAAATTACCTTAGATTCATGTTTGAAAAATGTTTTTACTAATAAAGAATAAATATATTCTATAAAAAGAAATTACAAACTTTTTTTTTGCAAATTATGCTGAATTTATATAATAAAAAATATGTAGAGATATTAAGTAAACAGTTTTAAACTGGATAATTAATTCAGCCAAATTTTTAGCTGCAATTTTGATCATTTAGTAAATCAAATTATTAATTATTTAATAAATTCCTATAGAGATTAATTAGTGTTAAACCTTAGATTAATTAGTGTCAAATTTAAAATTAATCATTTAGATTATTTCTTTGAATTTTGCATAAAAATTAGATATTCTGCCAACTCATTGAATGCATTAAATGCTAACATATTTTGATATATAAGGAAAGTTTTATCACATTTTTATTTCTTTAATTGTTCAATATTATATATTAACAATTTTTAAATTTATCCAAACAAATTCAAATAATGCTCATTACAATTGAATGGTCCAATAAAGAAATTCAATATTTGATCAAATTAAGAAGAGAAAGGAATAATTATTACTAAAAAAGGTTTGGAAAATCAAAGTTAACTTTTTGAAATAAGATTATTATGCAAATATAGAAAAGGTTCATAATAGCATTTAATGGATTATGGGTAAGGAAAAAATTTAAAGAAATGGTTAGAGATTGTAAAATAAGTAAATTACTAGTAAATAAAGAATAAAATATTTATATTAATTGTATTTACAATAATATTTAATAATTTTAATTCTTTAGTTATTTAAAAAATTAAAAAGTTATGCTAATAGGAATTCTAAAGGAAAGTGAATTCATGCTAGAGAAGTATTTGGGAAATAATTCAAAATTACATTTTGAGAAAGACTTGATTGGCATAATTAAACTTTTCAATTGATATTAATTGAAGAAAATCATTATTAAAATTCAATATTTATGTTTTTTAGCATTAAATATATAAGAAAAAAAGCTTATAAGATTAGCTGAAAAAGCTTAAGGTAAGAAATTTATTCAGTTAATATCAATATTATTTTAACCTAAATTTAAATTTAAATTTTTATAATTCTCAACTCCTCTTTATAACTCCTCTCAATCTGAAACCCAAAATATCTCATAATAATCTGCTTCTTACTACTTCTTTTTCCAACTATCTTTATTCTTTTTTTATATTTCATAATTTTAACTAGTCTCTCTTTTCTTTATCTTTTCTATTATCTTCACTTATCTCTTTTTACTCAGGGTTTTTTATAAATTTTTTTTGAATTTTGTTAAAAAAAATCTGAACAAAACTTGTTACCTTTACGTGATTTTCAGGATCAACAGTTATAGATTAATCTATATCTAGCTAAAAATAAGCATACCTTTATAACTTTAATTTGTAAGTTATTTATTATTTAAATTTATTTGATTTATATTATTTTCCAAACTTATTATCATATACCAAATTTGAATATGATCTTTGATATTACTATATAATAAATAAATTATTAAAATTTAGTAAGAAATTACTAAATTTTCTCATTATAATGAATTGTGACCTTTAAAAATGAAGATTCATTATAATGGAATTTAACTGTACCAATAAAGTACTTGTTTTTTATGTCCTATTTGATTATTAAAAAATTAAAAAATTCTGTTATAATTTATTTATTAGATTATCTAACAGATAAATTTATCAGTAAATTTAAAAAAAAGTATTAATTTCTTTATAAGATCTTAAAATTTAATTTTACTAATATTAATATCATATAAATTATAGATTATTATATATTTTAACAATTTTATTAATAATTATTTAAAGTTTTTTTTTAAAAAATTTTTAATTTTTCAAAAAATTTTAAAATAATTTAATTTTATAAAAAATTTATTATAATAAATTTTAAAAAATACATATGTTTATATATTAATTCAATTATTTTATTATTAATAAAAGTTATAAAATTCTTAATAAATTATAAAAATTGTAATAATAAAAGATTTTCTATAATAATAAATTTTATAATACTATATTATTATCAAGAAACTCTATATTTATAAATTTATCATAAGAAATCTATTCTAATATTTGTTTTTTATTTTTAGCATTCAGTTGAATATTTTGAATAAATTTATCAATATATTTATTTTTACTAGTCCAATTAGAAAAATGTTGTTGAAATAATTTAGAATTACATTCTTTACACCATCTATATCCAGTATTTTTTTGTTTACAATCTAAGCATATTCCTATTTTTCTAAATAAATATTTTATATTAATATTATTATTGAATTATAATTTTAAAAATAAAACAAAAGTATCAATTAGTCAAATCATATTAACAAACCATTAAAGATTATATTAATGAAAATGTAATTATTTTTTTTATTAATTCTATTTTATTTTATTGTTAAATTTTTATAATAAAATTTTTTTATATATTTTTTTTATATTAGAAAAATTACTTAATTATTCTTAACATTGATGATTATTATAATATATATATTATATGATAACCAGATACTACTTCTACAAGTAGTGCTTTTCACTTTATTATAGTACTTATAAAATCATCCACCCAATTTCCTGCTATTCTATTTAATAATATCACTAATCAGCTTACAATTCAAAATCCAAAAGGTATTGATTCTAGTAATATAATTAATAAACTTGATTTACAATATATGAAAAATTTGAGTATAACTTATCAAGAATGAAAAAAATCCTTTATAAAATTATTTGAATTATGTAAAAATCATGAAGAACAAGTTGAAAATTTGCTTATATATACTGTATATATATGATACATGAATTACTGAATAAAAAAAAGATCAAAATATGCAAAATACAAAATTAATTGATTTATTAGAGAGTGGTTTACATTTAACTAAGGATTATTTTTCAGTAATACGATTAATAATTACTATTTCAGAAATATATGCATATTTAGAAAAAAATATTTTGGTTACTCCTATGGATTATCCTAGACAAAAAAACATACATCATGCTATTGTACATCAAATAATTGATGGAAAATAATCTGATGTATCACAACAAATTCTTAATATGTTACCTTTTATTGGTCCTTTACATGTGTCTAAAAAAAGTTGAGAAACAACATTCTTTACCTTAAAAGCATTTTTAGAATTCTCTCCTATCTTTTCACAGTATTTTCACTTTAGAATTTCTTCTTTTGTTTAAAACTTTCATGTCATTCGCTTCCATATCTATTCAATTATATTAAAATAATAGGCTTTTTTATAATGAAATACCAATCATAGTCTGAATTATTGAATCCTACTAGGATGTCAGAGGCTAAGCTCACCAGCAGATGGCGAAAGCTTTTAGCAGATTTTCTTGATTTTCACATATGATCGTAATCCGACATGGATCTGGTTCCATCTCAACATAGATAAGATATATTTGTTTTAGTAGTTTTAAATCATCTTTCCAATGCAATATTATGCCAATTATAAAGACATTATCATTCAGATTGAGGACTTCAGCAAATTCACCCAACTCTCGTGATTGCGTTTCTATATCTCATGTGAGGACAAGAGTACAATCTCGCAAGAGAGCTGAAATAGGGAATCAGTTACTTATTGTTGTAAAATCATCTAGTGAACAAATCTTCTATAGATACATAGAATTTATATGAACAGAGCGAGCTGGTCTGTTTACCTTTCTTGCATATATATTTGTTTAATATAGACTATTTAGAAAGTTGGATTCCGTTTTTTCAGGCCACCTTTCGGTAGAATGAGTATAAATTATCTGAAGCTTTTTCGAAATTATTTTCTTAGATAGCTTAGATGGCTTCCTTTCTCTCCTAGTATCATTCGTATAAATTCGTAAATATAGTTTTTTTCCATATAGTATCCTTGAAAAGGGAATGCTTTAATGTGTTCTATTTTATATGATTTCACAATGCCAGAGAGAATTTTACTCACCTTTTCTTCGCATTTATCCAGAGTCTCTCTATCTGGTATGAGAATGTCAAAGAAAATCTGAATGCCATAAGTGTTATCAGTACCTTTTGATTATTAATAAGGTAACTATAAAAATACAATATATAGCGATACGTTTCATTTATTATTTTGTTAATCCTTCATTCTCAATGGCTATGAATGAAATATCTTGTTGTTTAGATAAAGCATCTTCGAGTATTGAAGATAATTTCTCATCATTTCCTGCAACTATATCATCCAGTGTTTGAATGTCTGATAAGTTTTTTTCACCAGAATAGCGAATTAGTTGGTCTTTCATTTTATCTTTTTCAGTCACTAGGTGATAAAGTTTGGTGAGGCGTCGAGGAATCCTGAAAGTACAGATTGGATCATGATAATATATCACAAATATACAATTCGAGAGAAAGTATATATTTCAGGAGAAAAAAGTTTAAAATGAAAATTCTGAATTATCACATGATACAAAACCCTTAACAAAGTTAAGGTTTTCTGAAAATTCGAAAACATCACATAAGAGACTTCTAGGAGAAAAAAGTTTAAAATAAAAATTAATTCTGAAATATATAAATTGATACATAAACTAATTATTAATATCAAAAATGGCATTTTATCGATGTCTTTATATTCTTAAGAGTAGTGAAATTTGCAATCCGGAATGCTACCGACTGGAAGGATATCAAATTCATTGGAATTCCCCTTCACATGTACAGTCACGTCACAAAGTGACGCCCGATTTGAAATTACAACCAAATGTCACATTATTTATTGATTTATTTCAATTTTTTTCGTT